ACTGGGAAAGCCAGTCAGTCCAACCAGGCACTTTCTGACCTGTTTCGATATATTTTCTGCCTTTCATTGAGCAGACGGGGCCTGGCTGTGTCCATCTGTCAGCCAGTACATCACACTCAGCATGTCCCTTACAGCTGATCTCAAAGTCCATGCTGAAGACCTGTGCTCCTGCCTAGTCCTGATGTCCTGCTCAGCCCCAGCAGCCCTCACTATCCTGAACATGAAGCTGCAGGACATGTGGATGATGCTCTGCAGCATCATTTGCTGGAGCCGCTAGGTTCTGTGGCCCCATCCATGCCCCCACACAGTGAAATGCCTGGTTTTGGAAAGTCAGAGACCAGCAATTGAAGCTTGAGGGCAGATTTTGCCTTTTCTCATGTGCCATTTATGTTGCACTAGCAGAGCAAAACCAGCAGATCCCACCAATGCCCTATTTGCTTTTTTGGACAAAGTGAAACTGCTGTGCCTCACGATGCAATGACAATCTTGAAGGAAAGACTAAAATACCCTATTTAGGTACCAGGGTTTCAGTTCTGTGATGCTGTGTGTAATAAACAAATTTTTTGTGCTCATAGCCTGCCCTTTCCTTGGGGAATTGCCGGGCTTGGATTTGTTTGCATTGTGCTGTTTGGGTGGGTTTTTCTCTAAGATTTCTTCCTTTTGGCACAGAGGAGAGATGATTGAAGCATTGGCTAAATCCACAGACTGTTTTGCCTTTTGTTGGTGGCAAATCCCCAGCACATGGAGATGTTGTAATTTATGTTGTTAATCTGGACTCTGACAACATTTCCTCTGGAGCAGCCTCCTATTCCATCAGTGTGGGCATGAGCTAGCAACGCTGGTACCCCCTGGTGCTCTCTGCTCTGCAGGGCAGCTCTGCCCCAGCACCCATGGGGGGATCCCCACTGGAGGGGCTTGTGCCCCCGAGTGGCCACATGCAGAGAGGCAACTGCACAGCCCCAGTGACAGGAGCATGCTCTGACACAGAACATGGCTTTATGGAAAGGTCCCTTAGGATGCTCTCCCCTGGAGACCTGCTACCTCCCGTCTGGGGCACTCTGTAAGGAGGCACAGGGACAGCCCTGACCACAGCCTTCAGCAGTCACTTCAGAAGACATTGCTGGCTCATTGTCCCCATGATTAGCACTTATCCAGGACATATCCAGAACGTGGCAAGCCAAGCACCACTCGCTGCCAGACGGCAGAGACATGGAAGTCATTAAACCCAAATGAGAGCACTGGTTTTGCACATGCAGTTTCCAGACACCTGATCCACGAGAAGATGCGGGTGCCAGAGCTTCCTGCTCCCCTCTGTGCAGTCACTGCCAGAAGAGCACATCATACCTGTGGGTGACTGCAAGCTTCCTGGTCCTACACAATGCTCTGCCCTGTCTCTCTGCTCCTCCTCAGCCCACCTCCCACCTCCCTGTCTTCCCCAGCATATCCACCACGAGGTGCTTCTCAGATGTTCTTTAGTCACCACCAAAACCCATGAGCCCCTACAGTTTGCAGGCCTGCCAGCCCTGCTCTGGAGCTCCTGGAGGGTGGGATACAGGACAGGAAGAGCTGGGAGACCAAGGGAATAGGTGGTGCAGCCAGACCCCCTTCAGCACTCCATTAAGCAAAGTGCCATGTATAAAAGACGTGATGTGCCACGACCCCCCTTTAAATGGCACCATTGAGGCTTGGTGAGGACAGAAGGCTGTTATCAGTGAACCAATATACCAATATATCTGACAAATAAGGGATATCAACCCGGGGAGGCTGTTTCTCATCTTTCCAAAGATTTTTGAGCCTGACCCCAAAGTGAAATGTTAGGTCAAGAGCCAGCAATGGAGGGCTGGGAATGCTGCTGCAGCAGGAGCTGCTCTGTCCCACTGCAATACCAGGGAACTCCAAAGTCAACCTGACTTTGTAGGATCTTGCTTCTGTTCCACTTCAACCGCCATGGTGTGACACAGCCTCTGCAGAGGTCCCAGGCAGGGAAATCACCTACGAACCAAGCTTCCAACAGACATTTATTTGTTTGGGTTGAAATCAATGCACACGAAACAGTGTCGTTCCCGTGTGCTGTGCATCTTTGCCATGGGTTAAAGTACAGGCCAAATGGTATTGTATGACCAGGACAGAAGCCTGTCTCCTTCTCCATGACCAGCCACACAAACACAGAACAAACCAGGACCTTATCCATGTGTCCCCAGCCACCCTCCTGCCTGGTCAAGCACTGCTCAGGTGAAGTCTGGGGTCTTGTGGGCTGGAGGTAGGGATGAATTAGAGGAACAAGTTCTGAATCAAGGGCTCTTCTTCTTTAGCTCCCTCTTGGTCCAACCAACCAACTAATCAATCTTGGTCACCCACCCTTCCCAAGAAGATTCTGGGGAAAGCAAGGACAGTGAGGGGAGGGCTTCCAGGTCTTGAGCCTTTGGTCTGTGCAGATCCAAGCAAACACTCGTATTGCACCACATACATGACTGCAGAGTGACCAAGCAAAGCAATCACTGGACAGTTTCTGTACGAGCAGGGAGTGAGTGGCCTGATCTGTCCCACCACCTCCAGGATGGATGCTACCAGTGATGTCCTGACATCCCTGGTTAGACAACAACTCTGTGTACTGCACCTCACTCCATTACACAGGGTTGGCAAAGCAGAGGGGAGCTCCCTGTGGCTTAATTTGCCCCTGTGATCTACAGGAGGCTCCCTCCGGTCCACACTGAAGTCTCCCCCAAGCAAGGAGGGCACCAGGAACTGGCAGGTGGTGGTCGTAGGGTGCTGTAGGACATTGACAATGCGCAGCACAAAGTCAGCAGATTCAGACCGAGACCATTGAAGTGACTCAGAGATGACACAAACTACAAGTTTGCTGGAGATGACCAGGATTGTGTTAGCCCATTTGGACCTTGAAGCCTGGTCTGTGAATGTGCAGAGGGTCTGGTTTAGTTTGTGGACTTTTCTGGCTGCTGGTAAGAGCCATATGTGGAGGAGATTGCTCAAGAAGGACAAGAGAGTGGAAACCCCCTTGCACAGGTTAGAGAACAGGTTCCCACATACTGGGTTTCCTGGCAGTGCTGATGAAGACATTCAGGAGGGACTTGGACCTGCTCATGGCACTGCGCTAGGAAGAATCCCACCTGCATTATGTTTTAGAAGGACAAATGTGCTATCAGCTGCAAGGGAAAGGGCCACATAGGTTGTGGCCATCTCACTGGCATGGGCATGATGGGCAGTGACCAGGCAGGAGCACATCTCAAGAGCCTACAGCAAGTTGTGGAAAGATTGAGCTGGTGCATTCTGGCCAGAGGGCAGCCACCCAAAGGAGAGCCCACCCCGGAACACCCAGCGAAGGCACAGCAGCCTATGGAGCAGAAGAGCAGGCAGGGGGAGATGTGAGAGGTCTTCACAGCCAGTGAGAAGGAGAGCCCTGTCCTGACACAATGGGCATTAGCAGCTCTGGCTGTGCCACCTCAACACAGATGGGTGCTCAGAAGGGACAATGGGAACTGAGACACTAGGTGCCTTCAGGGTGCCACGAGGCTTTTGCACAGGGCTTTATGTCCAGGTCATGGTCCCAAGCCCAGAGGCACTGGCTGGGGCACTGGAGGGCAGGACTGAATGCCCTCTTGGCAGTGAGAGTGTCTCCCCTGCTGTCTCCACCTTCCCGTGACACGTTTCCAGGCTCCTGTTTGGTTTTCCTTTCCTCCCGTACCCTGCCCTGTTCTTCTGGATTTTTCTCCCTTCCTCTTTTGCTCCAATTTCCTGCTTTTTCTTAGAGCTGAAAACTGAATCCATCATAGTGAGGTGGGAAAACAACTCGTCTGCTCATAGTTGAACACAGCAGGTCTGTGCTGAGGTGAGAACTTCACCAGAATTAGCCCTTCACTCAGCCAGCTCTGGGGAATGTCCTTCACGCTTTGCTCAGCTCTACCCAGAGCCATAGAGCACCTTGCAACAAAACTGATGCAAATACAAGGAAACCCAGACCAGAGACATTCCCCACCAAGAGATCTCAGAAATCATCCCATAGAGACCCACAAGGTAGCACAAGGCCAAGGATGAGACACCATCTGTGGCCACAGCATGTCTTGGATGGTGGAGCACAATGTTCTCCAATGCTTTCTCTATCACTCTGTCCAGGCGAAGGACTGCACTGGTCCTCTTTGTCATGGCCTTGCTTGCCTCTGCTGCACACATCTCTTGCAAGCTGAGCTCGGGTGGAATTCGGTGTTTGTTTGAAGTCATGGAGGAGACAGCCACTGGCATGGCCCCAGGGACACATGCCATCATTCAAGCTTGCACCACCCTGCTCGGGAAGTCTCTTCAGGGGTGGTGCTGCAGTGGAAAGCATGAGCAATGACGGGAAGTTGAAATGCTCAGAGGAGAGTAGGTTGTGGACTCTGGCTGGAGACCTGGGGAAGAAAGGCGAGAGGTAAGAAACCATGGGCTGCAACCGTGGGATCCCCTTGGTGCTTCCCTTCTCCAGTGGCTGGAGAAACCACCCTGCTTTATAGAGCACCTAAAGCCAATGAGACCAACTGTGGGGTGTCAGGTCAGCTGTGGGATTCTCCAGCAGTATGAAGGATGAGATGGATCCTCCCACAGTGAGTACAACCCACTGGACCCCCTTACCATCATCTTCCTCTTACTCAGTGCTTGTCACACATGCTGTCAGTCAGGACCTAGCACTCAGCCTGGTCATGGTCATCACCTACTGGGTGAAGCCCAGGCATGGAGGAAGGTGGGAGCTCCTCACCAGCTGCCCTGGGATGAGCTGTAAGGTCTGGACCCAGACCTGTGGTGCTGTAATTTCACTTCACCTGTGTTAAAGCTGTGATGCGATGGCAGCCCCTCCAGAGGGTGGTCCCTCATGGCCCACGTGTGCCTCACCAACCCCGTAGAGGCACACGGCCGTTGCAGCATCCAAGGAAGCCCCTCTTGCCCAGCCCAGCTTCCCGGGATGTGTACGCTACCATGGTCCTGTCCTGTGCAGAGGAGCTGGAGGTGTCCTACATGATGGAGCAGGTGAAGCCACAGCACTCCTTGAGCAGGGTGAGGCCCGTTTTGGTCACGTACGGTGCGGAGGTTTGCTGCTCCCTGGAAGTCATCTTCTCTTTGGCAGGAGCTGTGGAAAGAGGAATCAACATCTGCCTGATGGTAAGGGCACAGGCCTACCACTGCATCTTAGAGTTCCTTTCAGGGCTAAGATGCTGACCCTCCTCAGACCCACAGCTGGGCATTAGCTCCTGCATCCAGGAGGCACATCACCATCCATGCTTCGTAGGTATCCACAGGTAGGACACAGCCACTGGGACCCTGGACTGGAAATGCCTCCCACCATGCTGGGAACGTGTTCCTTCAGTAATCATGAGGAAAAGGGGAAGAGGGTGGCCTGCCATCAGAGGCCACGAAGAGGGTAGGACTGGATGGATACCACAACTTGCAACCTTAGGTAATGGTGTGATGAAAAGTAAGGAGCTTTTTGGAAACTGTTAGATGAAGGACATCAGCCATAAAAGAACCTATTCCCATTCTCATAGGACAGGGTGGCTGGGAAATGCCAGGAGGGAAATGGGAGCATAACCTCTGAACTGATTCAGGATGTTGCCACAATGTGATCTCAGGCACCAGCATCCCTCAGGTGCCACTTCCCCTCATTCTCCTCCAGCAAGAGATGGCCTCCAGGTAAGCCAGGAAAGCAGTGAAATCTTGGAGCCAGAGTGCTTAGGGAAGGGGAGAGACTGCCAGGGAGATTCAATGAAAGGAATAAAACTCATCAACCACCTACTTGTTTTCTGGAGGTAGCTTTTGGAGAGCTTACTTTGCAAGAATTCTGCCATTTCCTTGTCTTCTTCCCTTTCCCTGTGACAAAGAGATTGGTTAACGCTCAGGAAGAGCAGCACGGCACCAGGAGCACGGCATGGTGCAGACCAGAGGACAGACTGCGCTGTCCTCAGTGCAAAGGGATCAATGGCATCCAGCTACCTGAGCCTCTCAAACTCCACATCATCCACCAGGAAATCCCGTGTTTCCACCAGCTTGTGTATCTGCTGCACCAGCTCCTCTTCCGTCTGCCTCTCCTCGTTGGTCTTCTCATTCTCTGCAGCACAGGGAACACATTTAACACACCAACAGGGGCCATCCCACCCATGCCAAGGCAAAGCTTGCTCTGCTTCTGCTTAACCCAGGAACAGATATGAGTGCGGGGGTAAAAGCCAACCCAAAGGAAGCTCCTGGGTGCAGACACATGCTGCTAAATAAGCAGCCACCTCATCCCAAACCGCCCTGACTGGGAGGGGACAGGTTTGGTGTCATCACACTGGGAATTTTTAGCTCCTCCCCAGAATTTTCCCTGGGGAGCTTTGCAGAGGAGCCCCTCAACAACATGTGCTCTCTGGTGGGAGACAACCACAGCTCCCCTGGGGCCTTCACCCTGCGCTGCTGAAAAGGCTGTGTACCAGGTTTTTTTTTCCAGACTCAGATGTCATCCTTCAGCCAGGATGTGCTTACCCCACATTTCCCATGGCAGCACACACAGCCTGGCCCTGAGCTGGGAAGGTATCAGAGACCTCTGAGCCACATCTTCCATTTGGCTGAGAAACCAGCCAGCGCCTCAGGTCTATAGGGAATTATCAACAATGCCCAGATGCTTCGCAAACACCCCGTCCCATCACTTAGCCCACACCTACAGAAACACTGGTTTTGAGCCTTATTCCCTTGCTGAACATGGTCCCAGTGAGCTCATCCTCTACATCTGACCTTTCAAACCACTGTCAGCCCCACTCCCACCCCAAGGATGACCACAAGTGTCTGCCTGGCTATTCTGAATGTGTTAGCTTTGGTTGCCACTTGAACCCCCAGACTGACCTGCCTCGTGCACGGTGGGACCCACTTGTGTCACATATCTTCAGGCAGTGAGTTAGTGAAGACCTGAAAAACTCTCACCTCACTATGAAGTCATGTCCTGTATAAATTGGTACATAAAGGTAAAGCTGGATATGTGAAGATGATAGAGATAGGGCTAAGAGTGTTAAATACAAACAGAAAGCTACTTAGGTGGAAACTATGACTGACTGTGCTGCAGCTATTTAATACCATTTCTGAATTCAGCAGCTAGCTCCAAAATCAATCCAGCACCGGATGGATCCATCTCCAGTCTTCCTTCAGCTAAATAATAATGGAGAAATTCACAGTATGGAGCAAACCCTGCAGGCTGAGTCTCAGCAGTTACCTAAACTATGTATTGATTTGCAGTTTAAAGTCTGCTGTGTATTGATCAGAGGTGCTGCTGCAGGGCTTTCAGTAGGAGGAACTTCTCATAATCATCATGTTGTTAGGAACATCCTCAGCAAACAAAGGTTTCTCCTAAAATTGTGGCCTTGTGCAGGGAGTGAGCTTGAGCTTCCTGGCAGAGAAATCTGGACTGAGGTCTGGGCTGATGGTCTCCTACCATGAAGAGTTAACCCAAAGTCTCCTGGCTGTGGGCACTGTCTCTGTGCTCCACCTGCCTGGTGGGAATAGGAGCACTTTACAGTGTCAATTGGGTGCCACAGGAATCAGCAACTTGGGGCTGCACACAAACATACCAGCTCTTTGGAGTTCATCAACAAGCTGCAGCCCTGAGTTAGAGCATGTCAGTGTTCACATACCCACCGCATAAATAACACACCTCTTTCCTGACTTGCTGATGTCAGAGCCCATCGTGACCATGGTATCACTCTGAATCAGTGAAGACACCTTGGTCTGGTGAGGCTTCAAGCCACAGGTCTGGCTGAGCTCTGAGTAAGCTCTGATGTGTTTGAGTCTTTATCTGAACCAAGGTTCAGTGCCCATTGTTACAGACGATCTGTTGCCATAGTCCTGCCAGACCAGGGATGTGCAGGATTTTTCCACCACAGTCTGAGCTGAGCCAAGTTGTAAAGAAGACAAAAAGAGCATCTCTGATGCGAGCAGCGTTTCTGCTCTCAGCTGATTCTGCGAGTGCTGAAAGGGATGGCAATGAAAGACAGAAGCAGATGAAGGAAAACCAGCTGTGTTTCTCCAGCTTCAGAAAAGGCCAAGTTTATCTCTGGTCCTGAGCCAGCGTTTAGGTCAAGTCTTGTTTTATGAACTAGAAGGTGTTTGACTAAAAGCCCACATGAGATTCGGGTCTACACTTTGCAAGCAGCTCTCATTTTTACGGCAGAATCCTCCCCTCCCCTGTCTGAACCTCCCTCTGGATGCAACCAGGTTGTATTAAATGGATCAAGACCTGCATATTAAGCCGCAGTTGGCTCTAAATGCATGCTGAAGACTCACAAGCACACGCATCATAGCGACACTGTGGCATCAGAGTCAAGGTTTCTTGCCAACGCTGGCTTTGGGATAACCTTGGGTACAGAACCCATGAGCTGAGCTACTGCTCTGGGGAACAGATGTGCACAGCTGGTCCCTTGTCTGCATCCAGGCATCACCCCCTGCTACACACTCACTGGTGCCAGCAAGCGCAGCATCTTCAGAGAGAGGCTTGTGGTGGAAATAACTAAGGTCCAAATCTTCATGCTTGGATGGATACAAATAAGCAGGGATATATCTCCCACCTGGTTCCGAAAATGCACCTAAAGTACTTACTGGGGGATGAATGAGGATGTCCTAAGAGGAGGCATAGCTGATGAACACAGCTTGCAGGGAAGCCTTTCCTGTTCCTTCTCATTCAGACCCTGAGCTGTTTGGATGTGCTTTCATCTGAATACTTTGGCTGAGTGGGATTCTTCAGAAAAACTAGGTTTGAGCTTTTCTGGGCTGTGAAGGGATAAGGGTTGCTCTGACAGGGACACTGACGGTCACTGGTCAGGATAAGGGAGGTGACAAAAGCAGCATTTTCTCTAAGCTGAAGTTGTCGTCACATATATTGCCCTGGACTGTTTGCCTCTTTTCAATTTCAACGATGAATTCACCTAAACCAGGGACATCACCAAGCCCTTTAGGCATGACATCCCCCCAGCACCCATCCTACTGCTGCAACCAGGAATCCTTCCCTGCCCCATCACTGACGCAGTTCTGACACAGCCACAGCAAGAATTCGTGGCTTTTCCCATACTTCAGGCCTTTGAAGGCATCTCCCCATCTGCTGCCTCCAAAGAGGCCCCTCCATGGTGTGCTCTGACACTGTCTCCTGCTTGTCTTAATCAATCTGGGGATCCTCCTTAGCGCACGTGGCGCATGCTGGCATTCGCTGCCACCTCACTCACCTCTGCTCCTCCTCCCGCACCAGACCAATGCTCCTCCTCAAGGGTCTCGTGGTTTTTCTGTGTTGCTGTTTCAGATACCCTCATTCCAGAGGCTCACACCCTGCAGCAGCAGCAGCTGGAGCATCCTGGGGTGGGAGCTCTTCAAGAGCTTCCTGTGTTTGATGGGAACCTTTCTGCTGAGAGCAGCGCAGGGCGCAGCTCTCCAGACCGTTACAAAGCCGTACCTGGAAGCGTGATGAGTTGTTGAAGCTCCTTTTTCAGCCGGCTGATTTCCTTACAAAGCTGAATGTCATCCATCCTGCAGAGACACAAAGGGAACCACTGAGAGAGGAAAGGTTCAGAACCTCCAGAGCAGCCCCCAACCAACGCTGGGAGGCAACGTGGGGAGCACAGATTAATCTGCCTTCCCATGGGAAACGGCACTTCATCTCAGAGCTTTTGGTACAGCTACATGGGTTGTGCCACTGGTTGTTGGCAAATAAAAGGTTTCATTGCTCTGATGACAGTGAAGCCTTATTAAACCCTGGCACATCCACCACACAACAGCAGCTGCGTTTCTCCTTCTCCTAAAAAATAATCCCCAAACAGCAAAACCAAAGAGAAGCTGCTGCCACAGTAGAAGATGTGTCATTTTCATGCTGCTTTAGTGCAGAATTAGAAAAAGGTAGAAAAAAGAACCACAACAGAGGAGGGAACGGTGCAAATGCTGCAGTGTCCACTGGGAAATAAGGTCATGTCAACTGGAGAAGAGAAGCCTGCTGGAGCTGCAGGCAGTGAAATCACCTCCAGTTCAAACCACACACAGCAGCGAGATACTGGTCAGGATGGGCTCAACGCAAATGTCAGCGCACATCGAGCAGCGACCCAAGGGCTGCCTGGCCCCATCTGCCCTTCCAGCGGTCTCTGAGGTCACATCAGCCTGCGGCCAACCTCGGCCAGCCACATTTTCAACCAAAGCATGTCAAGACCAACCATCTGACACTGTTCCTTCTGCTCTGAGCCCTCCCAGGGCTCCTTACACATTGTCCCTCTCTGGGACCATTAGGAAAAGCTGCTGCTTTGATGATGGACTTAGGACCTGGTGCCACCTTGAACAGATGTGCCTCTGCTGCCTTTTGAAGTACATGTTAGTAAAAGCCCTGTCTGCATCTTCAATAATCCTGCTGGTCCTTCCCCTGAGTCACAGCATCCACCACTTCTGGGATGAGTCATATTTGCTGGACCTACTTGAAGATATAGCTTTGCCAGCTGAGCAGAGGACACCAGAGATATCAATAAGGGAAGGGAAAGTAAAGAGACTGACGAAGAGGGACCCTGTGAGATATTGCTGGAGGAGGAGATCGTCTCAGGTGGATGCGAAGACTTCTTGGCTCTGTCAGATTTCTGCTCCATCTGACAGTGTCTTCCTTTGTTTGCCCACCACACCAAGCCAGTGCCTGCGAGCTGCACGTGGAGAAGGAGAGGTCTGTTTGGCCTTTTATAGCTTGCTCTTAGTCTCATGGTGGCCAAGCCCTGAGCTTGTACAAGGAGCACCAACAAGGTCTGCATGGGACACATGGGCAACAGGCTGACTGCTAGTGACACACTCACTAAAATTTAAACAGTCAAATGATAACTGAAATATTATTAAAATTAAATTGGAATTTAATGCTGTGAAAACTGATCATGAGAATAATAAATGGGCAATCATAAACATTCTCAGTTCAATAAACTGTAGAGATTGCAAAGATGAGCACTTGGAAGGCTGCTGCTGGAGCTGAGATTCCTTCTGCCACTGGGGATAAAACTTACTGCAGGCTCAGCCATAGCCACGGCAGCACTGCACATCCCAGGGAGCTGATCAGAGCACTGAGCGGTGAGGTGCGGAGCTCAGTCTCCCACAGGAATACCAGACCCTTCTTTTTGCCCTATAAAAGGTAAACTACTGGGAGCTTCATTGTTTTCCAGAGCACAGACGTCTCAGAAATGTTGGAAAGCTTTAGTCTGATATTTCTGACAAGAAGAAAACACTGATCACGATCATGATCAACTGACCAGATGGATCACTCCTCTGCTTCACAGCAACCAATGGAGAACTCCATCTCTCCAAGCCCCTCAGTTCAAACATCCAAAACATCACATTTTTTTCCCCATTGGGAAAATATAAAGCCCTCACAGCCCCAAGTGCCATCACTTTAAACCCTGTCCTGCAGAGCCGGGTCTGGGATCCCCCTGCTCCATCAGCAATGCCCAGGGAAGCCCTCAGCTCTCCCTGCTGCTGTGCTTTGCAGAGCCAATGCTCAAGCTCCCCACAGCACTTCCAAACCACCAAGATGTGTCATCCTGGCATTCCCAGACTTCCCAGTGACCGCTCTCTGCAAGCCCACCCCAGCGTGTGGTCTCTGCAGGTGATTTCCTTTTGTCTTCCAGGTGCTGGGCAAGGATGACAACAAATAAAGGGACAGGAAAAGCGAGGGATGTTGCGGTGTGACAGCACCTGTGAGGTTTAGGTACTGGCTGACTTGGAAAGCTTTTGAAGATTACACTTTTTACGATTTCCGAAAGTCCTTTTAAACCATAGATTCAGGTTGTGCCTCCAAGACATCATCGCTCCAAATCTGAGCCCCTAAACCAGCTCTCAGCTTCCCCAGACAGTGGATTTATACAGGCACTTCCAGGCTCTGGTGATCTCTATAGTGCAGGTACCAGTGGGGACCCAGGCACATTAAGAAAGCAGCATATTAAGTGCTGCAGCCATTGCCAGTAAAAATCACAGGCTCTCTGTTGAGCTGACAGCACAGGATCTGGGCTGACTATGGCAATGTAGTGGTATTAAAAAGCTTAATCAATGCAGACTATGGAATGCTGTCCTTTTCCTCCCAAACCATAATATTTCCCGATGTACCCAGGGAAAATGTTCTTTATCTGCTTTGATTATTGAAATGGACCCTGGAGAGAATCCTTCCCTGGCTGCAAAAGGCTGTGCTGGGAGTGGAGAGCAGGATGTGGTGTGGAGACAGGCATCAGGTACAAGTGCTGGTCCAGCCTCACTGTGTCCTGCTGATCCCAGCAGTCAGGGGATGGAGAAGGAAGGGAGGAGCTGGGAGTATGTGTAGTACTTCAATATTGGGAGAGGAAACTATGGTTGTGTGGCTGCTCAGCAGCCACAGATCTGTGTGCTGGGGCAAAGATGTATCTCCAAAGAGCAGCAATAAACCCTCAAGCCTCAGGTCCATTCTCAAGCCCAGCCCAAGAACCATGCACTGAGGAAGAGTATGGAGCCACTAGGAAGATGGGTGCTTGTGGTTGAATATGGAAACACTTAGTGTAGTTTAGGCTGTGCCGTAAACTCTGTTTGCACAGAAATAGGCTGGCTCAGATCATCACAGCATCAGTGTCAGATTTGTAATAGGGACCTATTCAAGCCCCTTCCAAGAACAAGGCCAGAGAAGTGGGAGAGGTTGTGCTTCCAGGTGGAAATGAGGTGGAAAGCAGCCTCTGTTCTGCCCATCCCTGGGACGGTCCATGCTTGATGGGGCAGGCAGAAGGCGCTGGGGGGACCTTGGGAAGGGGTCAGGTACTCACATGTATCGCAGCTCTGACTCCCTCCTCACCAAGATCTCCCTGATCCTCTCGATTTTGAAGAGCTCCCCTTCAATGTCATCAATGGTGGTGGTTGAGTCAGCCATGGAGACAATCTCATCCTCTGCAAATGGAATGGGAGCCACATTAGACAGCAGGAGACCTCAGATGGGTGCTGAGAGCAGAGAGGAACCACAGGGCTACCATGGGACCCCCCTGCAAACGCCAGGCCAGCATAACCACTACGCACGTGCACAGCTTAAACTCCTTTCCAGGCTTCTTGATACTCTGTGAGTGCTCCAAGAGGAGACAGCCCAACAGGCACACGGGAAGTCACCAACGTAAGCAAGAGCCTTGAGCTGCTGGCTACGGGGTTTGGTTTAATTGTGCTTTGCATGAGGCAGGCACTAGCACAGCCCTGCTCACTGCTGTGTCAGGTCACAGCCAGCTTGTCCTGCTGAGCATGGCTTTGTACACACATGCAATATGCATGAAGTGCCTGCAGAAAAGAGGACCTCAGAGGCCAGCAGCTCTCCAAGCCTTGGAAACAAGCAGCATTTCACCTGCTCACACCAGTGCTGGGCTGGGCTCTGTGGGCTTCCCCTGTGCTGAGCAGCAGGAGGACAAGGGGCTAAAAGCTGCTGAAGGGAAGGACAGGAATGTCTCTTGTTCAAGGCTCAGGCATCTCCAGCACAGAGCCATGAGCCTCTGTGTGCACCCTCCTCCGGGATGTGCCAGGAACAAATGTTGGGCCCATATAGCACAAGCTGAGGTGAAGTTCCTAGAGCTGCTCCCCTTCCATCACAGGATGGATGAAGACAACCCCCCCCCCCCATGCTTCCCAGCTCACAGAGGGAAAAGTCCCCAAGGTACCCAGCAGGACAGTTTGGCTTCGACATCCTCTGGAGCACTGAGCATCACCTCTATAACCCACTCGGGAAAACTGAGGCAGGGAAAGGGGTGGCACTTGTTCAGAGCGAGAGGCAAGAGCCTCACAGCAAAATGTGGGTGAAAGGAGCTGTGATTTCTGTCTAAGAGGAGCTCAGTGGCAAGCTCAGGGTCGGACAGGACAAGAGCCCAGCAACCTCCGTCCACTGCTCTGCCTCCCCCATCTCCACTGATTCACACACAGATGTCCCTCTGATGTCCCTGCTTTGCACGAGATGGTCTCACTGATTTGCACAGGGATCCGTGCTTAGTCCCACAGTGCTGGCACGTCCCACAGCAGCTCCCGACCCCTTCTATGGGGACAGAGGAGGTTTTACTCCCAGCCTGGTCTGGCTCTGAGAGACACATCATTGAGCTTGTTATCACTGGCAAGCAGCAGCACATTTAGCATATGCAGGTTAATCTGGCTCTGCTGTGATACACACACAGCACAGGCTGGGGACAGGGGCTCAGCAGCTACAGCAAAGCCAGATCACAAACATCAGGAGCAAATTCTGCTTCCTTTGGATCTTCCCAGGGCACATCTCCCCTGCACAGAGAGAGCTGAAAGCACAGACAGGGAGCACTGACTCCAGCAGCAGGATTTTCCAGGCTGAGGTCTGGGAAATGGAGATGTCAGAGCTGGAGTGTGTGGTTTGGGGATCCCAAATGGGACTTGGGCCACTGCTGAGGGTTACAGGGCAGCATTAAGGCACAAGGGAAAACACTCCGTACCCACTGGTTCCCCATCCATAATGTGAAACTGCTTGAGAAATCATTCCCAGAGTGAGGCATGTTTCTGTTGCCAGCAGAGGGGATTTCTAGCGGAAATATGAGTGGTTTGGGTTAGTGTCACTGGTTTGGAGGATAGTTTTCTGCTGTTTCTGGCTTAGAAATTCATAAGCACTGCTTGGAGATTCTCTCCCTCTCCTCCTAGCCGTGAAGGCTCTGTTCAGCTGATGCCAGCATGCTGAATCCTCGATCACTCCCCATCCTGAGCTGTCAGCATGCTCTCAGAAGCCAGCACCTGCTCAGGACAGGCTGATGGATACACAGGTTGGACAAAGTGCAGGGCAGGATCTGCTGCCCTCTCTCAGCTCTTGCTCAATGGCTTTGCTGCAGATCTGCACAGAAGCCCTCCCTTAGCCTCGTCTCTATGGGCCTGAAGGGGGTTGCTAAGGGGACTGGACTGTGGTTGCTACAGGACCAGGCTGTGGTTGCTAGGGGACCAGAGTGCGGTTGCTAGGGGGCTGGGATGCTGAGGTCCCTCATCCCAAGCATCCCGCTGCTCTGCCACCCCAAAGCTCCTCTTGCCCGGGGCATCATTCCTGGGCACATCATTGCCTAGGATCACTCTGTGACTCTACGACTGCTGCAGGCACACACAGCGCTGCGGGGCAGGGATGTCCCTGCGGGTGGTGGCCAGCACACAGATGCCACCACACTGAAGGTGTGGATGGTACAGTCGGTGTGTGCTTGTAGGCAGCCACTCCCTGAGATCAGGCTGTACTTCAGTGCAGCTCCAGACCTGTCAGGAAAATGCTGCCTTGTTCTGAGTGCTGCTGCTGTGAGCAGGGTAAACCAACAGGGCTGATTATTTGAGAGATGCACCAATAAATATGAGCTTTTCGCAGCCTTCATTAGCCAGGGACAGATCTAACCCTGCCAGGAGCACAGGGGTGGCTCTGGGGGAGGAGGACTGTCACTCCTGGCCTGGGTGGGAGGATGAATAACCCAGAATATCTTTGATCACCAGTGGCAGATGATTTGGCCGAGGTTCTCAGCCAGCTGCTTCCTGGTAGGTGAGTGCAGGGGTTTGTAACAAGTGGAGCATAGCTGCTTCTCCCTTATCATCCTCATTAGCAGAAGCCATTCTAGACAGGAGAGGTGATTCCTCATCTGCGTACACAGAGGGTGGAGGTGGTGGTGCTGGGGCAGGAGGCTGGGGCATCATTTCAGCCCATAGAGAGCTGCCCACAAGAGCAAGAAGGTTCCTGGCTCAGCTCTGGGCAAGTTCCCACCAGAGAGAGCGAATTCAATGTGTCTGGGACCACCGTGCCCCAAAGTCACCCTCCTCTAGGACACTCCCCAGCAGCCTCCTGTTGCAGGTTGGGAGTGTCCTGCAGGATGGGGACTGTGGACAGGGCAGACCAGGACTCGAGCTGGAAGGTGCTGAGCCCTTGGCTGTGCCCTCAGGGCCATGGCACTCCCTGTTGCTCAGGCAAGATGTGTCCTCAGGCACGCCAGGGAGCTGCCCACCAAAGCAGTAAGTTCTGCACAAGTAGCTCTATGGGGACAGTCTTGTGCCTGGAGTGGCTTCATTCAGGGCAGAAGCAGAGGGAGGGCAGCCCCAGGAGGATGCTCCTGCAAAATGAAGCCCACAAACCGTGGGGGAGAGCACCTGGACATGGGGACACAGAGGCCTCTGCACCAAAGCCATCCACTCATCCTCAAGAGAAACCAATGAAGCCATATGGCTGATTAACTGGCATCTGCCCAGGACCCCGGGTCACGATGCCAAGACCTGAGTATCTGAGTGAGGCCAGGGACTGGAGCATGGGATGGACAAGGGGAGACTGAGAGAAGCAGGTTGAAGGGTTGTTCAGACACTGGAACAGGGATTAGAGAAGTTGTGGGATCTCCATCCTTGGTCCAGGATCCCTCTGGAGAAGGCTGTGAGCAACCTGATCTACTGAGCCTGCTTTGAGTATCCCCAGAGGTCCCTCCTGATCTAAATTCCTCAGTGATTCCACATAATATGATCAGTCAATGACAACCGATTGTGACATAGAATCCCAGACTGGTTTGGGTTGAAGAGACCTTAAAGCTCATCCAGTTCCAATGCCCTGCCACAGGCAGGGACACCTTCCGCTAGAGTAGGTTGCTCCAAGCCCCTGTGTCCAACCTGGCCTTGAACACTGCCAGGGATGGGGCAGCCACAGCTTCTCTGGGCCCCCTGTGCCAGCACCTCAGTACCCTCACAGGGAAGAGCTTCTGCCTCAGAGCTCATCTCAACCTCCCCTCTGGCAGGTTCAAGCCATTCCCCTTGTCCTTGACTGCTAGCTCAGGAGATGCTTTCTCCAGGCAGATACAGGATGATGCTGAGTTCCTGAACCCCAGCAGCTATAGGCATGGGCCAGGTGACAGCCCTCCTGAGGCAGTGGTGAGACCAGAGGGCACCGTGTCCTGTGCGGTGGCAGTGACACCATACAGCAACCACAAACAGCAAGTACAAGCACTCGGAGCTCATGAGGGATTAAAACCCAGCACATCCTGCAGCAGGCAGCTGGGCAAGAGATGTCACTGGAGATGGCTCTGTCAAAGCTGCAGATGGGTTTCTTACACCCTCCCTAAGTGCTCGGCACCAGCGAGGGATTAAAGCATGTTTATTACAGCTGTGATCAAGCTCACAGTCCTGAGTGTCCCTTTGGGGATGGAGGGATGATGCCCATGTGCAGCCGTGCTGCCCCGGGCTCCCTTTGTTCCCACAGCTGCACACAAAATGGCACAGCCAGACACAGAAACCATCCCCACGATGCCCAAAGCACCCCTGACTGGCTCCATCTCAACCTGGCAATCCAGGGAAGGGAAGAAAGCTTCAACTGAAACTTGGAGATGCTCTTATCATCACACATGGCCCGGGGGGAGCAAGTATCATTAATGAGGAATATAATAGCCGGAGTCTTCCACTCCATATGGCTTTGGTGAAAACATTTAGACAGGCAGCAGCAAGCCTGGGATGAGTCGCAGCAGCAAGCCTGGGATGAGTCACAGCAGCACCAGCGCGGGGCTGACTTTCAAGCAATTTGCTTCATAATTAAAGTTGGGTGATTGACGGACATTGTGTTCAGGAGGGGTTAAAGCTCTTCCCTTGGGCTCCATCCCAGGGCGCCTTTAACCCAGCCGTACACTTTCTGTGCCTCAGGAAGCAGCAGGGCAGGGGGCATCCAGCCTCCCAAAACCAGCCCCTGCTCCACAAGCTTGATGGTGACGCACCCCCTGGCGCTGGGGCTGCCCTGTCAGAGGGGCTGCGTCCCCACCACCCACCCCGCAGGAGGGACACCAGCCTCCAGGACCACCAGTGCCTGGCCAAGCACAGTGGGCTCAGAGGACAGGATCCCCGCTGCCGGCAAGCCTGCAAACCACAGGAGTTCCCAGTGCAGCCTTGTCCCGTTGCAGCCAGTGGACCCCTCTGGC